CAAATTATGTTAACCCACATGCATTATCTTGCATTTATTATAATTAAACCCATCTGCCATTTATCTGCCCAATTCACTAAATCCTTTTTTAAATAAGCAGAATCCTCTTCACAGCTAGCAACACCCAAGACCTTAATATCATCATCAAATTTAAGTAATTTATTGACCCTTCCTTCATCTATGTCATTGATGTAAATTAAAAAGAGCAAAGATCCTAAGACTGAGCCTTCAGGTTCTTCACTTGTAACATTAATCCAATAGAACTGAGCTCCATTTATAACAACCCCCTGCTTTCTTCCATCCAATTTGCTAACTTGTCCCTCACATCTATAGAAATAATTTTCTTTTAAAAGCTGTTTATGTAGCACCTTGTCAAATGCTTTCTGAAAATCCAGATACACCAAAGTTACACCATTACCCTCATTTACATAAGCAGTGTTCATTTCAATTTTTTTTTTCTCTACTAAGTTGCACTGTTAAAGTACAGATGGTGAAAATATGGATTTACAACATTTATTGAAGTTCATATACACTTTCACAAATCAACACAGCCAGGAATATATTCACAAGCAAAATTAATATTTGAAAACTCCCTCTTACTCTTCATTAAAAAAAGGTCAAATTCTGATTTACAACTCGGACAACTCATTCAAAAATTAAACACTAAACATGTTATCCAACCTTAAACAAACATGTTTTTACTTCATAAAAACCCTTCATACATTTTACTAGTGCCAACTTAAAGAAAAAGTAGCCATTTTCTGTCTCATCGAGCACTGAGTGGGGTGTATGTGTAACACCTTATTGTTAACTCCTAAATTAAACCATTCTAAGTACTGAAGGTAATCTAAAGGGATATTGATATGTCTGATAATCCTGTACATTTCCATTTCTTCTTACTGATATTTTAAGATACAAGAGAAATCTTGAACCTTCAAATAAACCTGGGATAACTCCCATCCTGACTTCACCTGTACTTACCTGAGCATTTTCCTTAACTTTCTTGAGGGTTAGTTGTTGAAGCAGCTTATTTTCCATGTTCATGTTGTTAGCAAAACCTTTAGATACAAACAACAAAAACAAACTGTAATTTGTGATAGGTATATGTACAAAATATTCATTTCAAATCAAAATCTAACAGTTTCTGAAAGAGACCCAATAAATTACATGTACATTAGATTTCGCTTCCTATATCACTAGCCTTGAACCAATTTACATAGGAAGTTATAAAAACCCTGTAACCCGAGCACCTTTGAAAGGTGGACCTTTCTTCCTCAGAGGCGAACTGGGAATGTTTACACGTACACGTTATCTACTAACTAAAGACGTGGACATTAACAGCAATGATACAAATATGACATGATAGTATATATACATGTATGAATATAAATATCGATGTAGTCTGATACGTAATTATTCAAAGGTTTATTGGGCTTTGAATATTCAGATAATTAACATCTGAACAAATATTACAAAAAAAGTAAATCCGCTGTAAGCATTTGTAACTAAATAATACATAAAGCAAAACATTAATGATCTTTTAAAGAGACTACAGAAAGTATTATCAATAAAAACTTAAGACTAGTAATATATATATATATATATATAATTGGATCCATCTTACAAAGCCAGCTACTGCAAAAGTTGAATCTGACACTCTGACCAAAGTATAAATGTAGAAATGCAAATCATATAAGAATGACCCAGTATATGTTAAGTTTAGCCACTAGTATAAAGTTCATGTAAACTATCTAATAACCCGTACCATAAAAACTCTTTGATTATGATAAAACAGTATAGTAGTAGAGTACTTAACAAGTGTGGTATAATTTTTACACCTCCTCAAGTATCAAAGTGTTTCTATCTACATGTCTTGCTTGACAAAAAAATCTGACATATTAAATCTTATATGAAACACACCAGACCTAGTTAACTATAATTATGATGAATACTAAAAAGATTATTACAGACAAAGTAATTAAAACCACACGACCTCACTTTAATAAAATGGATACACAATTTTTATATAACTCGAAACTTAGAATAAAACCAAAGAAAACAGTCAAGTAAGTACATTTTCTGTCTGTTTCCCACCGACAAATCAGAGATTGAATACTAGAGTATCTTGTATATATATTACACATGAGAATAATTATATGCACGAGAAAGAATATTTACCAACAAATTAAACCACGAAACTGAATCAGCTATAATGTTACATGGTCTTCAAATAGTAAAATGCCCTTGACTTGAAGACACATGCCATGTTTTATCAAGAGTAAAAATGAATGTATTTAACTAGATTTTTTTTTCCAGCATTTGAGAAAATTAATTATACTTTTCATTTTAAAATTTTGCAAAAGTCTCGTGTAACATACAAAAAAAATGTTACTTCTCATGAACTTTTCCTATTTATTTTGTTATGAAATCTGTGAAGAATGTAATTTGTAAAGTAAAATGAAACAAAATCTAAAATTGCATATACATTAATTTATTAGTTTGTCCGTTATTTTCTTTAATTGGTATATTTTATATATCTACTATACCAATGTTATTTTAGCTTATCAAACACGTGAAAAACTTGTTTTTAAGCAATTAAAGAAACACACAGATGTAAATTAAGACCCGTACACTCCGAGTACACGTACGTTCCTGGTCTAAATTGTTTTCTCTTCACTTTTGCTTAACTTTCATGCGGGTAAAACTCGCAAGGAGAGAATAACAACAACAAAGTGATTAATGTGGACAATTACTGATTCATTTAGAATATGAATTCAGTTTTTTCAACAACACCAGATATCATATAAAACATTAGTAAAATATATGCCTCACTTTGCAGTACTAGAAAGAGATCGTTGTGCGTGTTTACTAAGAACAGATAAAAAAAAAAAGGTTTTGATAGTGTAAGGAAAAATAAAATTAATTATTATACTTTTGTTGAACATTTATGTTAGGAAAAACTTTGTGAAATTAAGAATTTGTTTTACATAAATGTGAAATTTGATTTATTTTTTACTTTTTTTTTTTATTGAAAGTCCTTGTATTCTGAGGTTTCATAAGTTAAAAGTCCATGGACAGTTGTATATTTTCATGTTACTTATATACATGTTTGTATACTTATAGATATAAATTTTTTCTTAGCAATGAGAATACACAGGCACATATAAACCTGTTTTATTACACGAATAGAACTGTAAGGGGAAGAGTGAAAGTTATCGTATATTTTTTGTTGGAATAAATAGCATCATTCTTCTTTGTCAAATCTATAATGATATGACATATACAATCACAAAGACACAATGTAATCACACTCCCTCTTGAGAATACTCCCAATGTTTAGCTTACCTTGACCTTTTCATCACAAATGGGGTCAAATAAAAATGTTACAAATAACCCAATGGAAAATATTATAAAGTTAATGGATCCTTACGTTATCTATAACGTTACTTGGTTAAATACATAACATTGCAAAGGAAGTTATTTAGTTTAACACAAAATTTGTTGAAGAAATATACAATAACTTTTTTCTTCCAAATATAATTTTATAATTAACAGGTAGATGTTCCAAGACACTTTAAACAAGTTTTTACAACAGAAATATATAAGTTGGACTACAAATTACTGTACAGTTGGTTCTATATGGTGGTACAGTTGGTATTATACAGTTAGTGTTAAAGAAAACATTATAAAGACAATTGATACCATTTAATTAGGGTACAAGTTACAAATCAAACTATGTTCTAAATGAAACAACTGTATAGTTCTTTTTTTGCCCCATCCTGCATGCTACATCTTATTGGGAAATCTATTACCATATAGAAATACTAAAAATACTGTACACACGTAACACAACATACACAAATGTATAAGCTTTACTTTGTAAATTCAGTTTGAATGAAGCATGCAGTACAACTTACAAAAATAAAAAATCATCAATTTTTATTACACATACATAATTTAAAACCAAGTGACCACAATGGAGTGTATCACTTCTCAAAATCTTAAAAAAATTATAGTAGAAGAATGCCTCTTATGTTCTCCGATCCTACGTCAGATTTTACATCTTATATATTACCCAAGATCATCATACAAGGCTGACATTAATTTTATATAAGTGAGTGTGCTTGGCAGGTTTAAATATTACAACGGATAGGGACATATTCTGATGAACATTTGATATTGAGTAAATCTGTCAATTCAACCATGGGCAAACAAACATCTAAGAACTTATGAGTGAAAGTAAAGAAAAAATATGTTACGTCAGCCAACTACATCTGCTATAATCAGTGCTGATGAGTGATTGCACGCAATACCAGGGCTCATCAGGCCAGCTGGGATACGAAAGATGTATTTTGCAATCTAGGTGCTACTTATGTCATCAACTTTTATGAATAACAACTGTAATTAGGGCTCAGAGCCTGTTTGGGTCATTGGAGCTGGAAGTTAAGTTAATAGGAAAAACATTAAAGACACGAGTTCACTGGCAGCATAAAACATGTAAGTCTCAAGTTATTATCACAGTTTGAATAATACTCAAGGCTCATGTGATTACCTGAACAAAACAACACAGATAACTTAATACATGTACACTGTAAGCGGGTGTTATAATGAGCTACATTTATTTTCAAAGAGTTTTTAGATATAAAGGAGATTAGCTTGTGTTACACAAAACATGTGAGGTTATGAGAGGTAAAAGTAAAATTATCAAATGTAGTTAAACACAGGAATTAAAGAGATTTAAACTGAAAATTAACATAAAAGGTTGTAAAAAATACATGTAAACAATTTGATAAGACAAACAGCTTTATGTACAGAAGAAATGCTTATCTAAATTACAACTTGAATGTGTACAAACTATGTTGGCTGCAAAAATTATTCTTGAAAGATAAAGGTATGACTTGTGCCTTTGTAAATTATTTTCTAAATATTTATCATTTTGTATAGCTTTTCTGACAATTTGACTTCCCTATGTCAAAAAAATACAATAAAATCTTATTAATACATACACACACTACAGTTTGTTACTTTTGCAATATACCAATAACATGCAATGGTTAGCACATGAAAGCAAAAAAAGTATAGACTATTACACAGGCAGAATGCACTATGCAATCCCCTATTGTTCATATGTTATCATAGTACAGTCCCCTGTTGTTCATATGTCATCATAGTACAGTCCCCTGTTGTTCATATGTGATCGTAGTACAGTCCCCTATTGTTCATATGTTATCATAGTACAGTCTCCTGTTGTTCATATGTTATCATAGTACAGTCCCCTATTGTTCATATGTTATCATAGTACAGTCTCCTGTTGTTCATATGTTATCATGGAACAGTCCCCTGTTGTTGTTGTTCATATGTTATCATAGTACAGTCCCCTGTTGTTCATATCTTATCATCGTACAATCCCCTATTGTTCATATGTCATCATAGTACAGTCCCCTGTTGTTCATATCTTATCATCGTACAATCCCCTATTGTTCATATGTCATCATAGTACAGTCCCCTGTTGTTCATATGTGATCGTAGTACAGTCCCCTGTTGTTCATATGTTATTGTAGTACAGTCCCCTGTTGTTCATATGTTATCGTAGTACAGTCCCCTGTTGTTCATATGTTATCGTAGTACAGTCCCCTGTTTTTCATATGTTATCGTAGTACAGTCCCCTGTTGTTCATATGTTATCGCAGTACAGTCCCCTGTTGTTCATATGTTATCCCAGTGCAGTCCCCTGTTGTTCATGTTATCATAGTACAGTACCCTGTTGTTCATATGTTATCCTGAAACTGTCCTTTGTTATATTCACTCTTGCTTAAAACTTTTCTATGAAAGGAAAAACTAAATATAATTTACTCTTAGGACAATAAAGCAATTAACATGGTACATTTAACACACAGAGACTGAAATTCAGAAAGAAAACCTGAGAGACAAATAACACAGTATATGAAGAAAAAGACAGTAAGATAATAGGTTTGATAACCAATGTCCTATCAATGATTACCTAAAAAAAAACAGTAATAATTCTTGCTATCGATGCTTCAGTCTAATAATCAAAACATTGTTTATCAGCCTTACAGTCTATAAAAATTGCTAGAAATTTTAAACTTGCAAATTTCAAAGACTACACAAGTCTCCAATTATAATACAACACTAGATTTGTTACACCTTAAGTAAAAAAAAAAATTATTCAAGATTCATTTTTACACAATAAAAAAAAAAAGAAAGGATATAGCACTCTCAGTTCTGAATTAATTTTCTCTGCTACAATTATTGCAACTTTAAAAAATTCAAACAACATGGATGTAATTGATTTCATAAGTTATCACAGACTTTGCCAATAGGATTCATGAGAAGTTTTACAGCACATTCTCAAACAGTCAACATAAATGATGAATAGTAATTTTAACAATGACAAGTTTCATTCGACCTTCAATGGCTTCATAACTTCAGCCCTGAGAAGGTTACAGCTTATATATATATATAATTTACTTGTGGTCTAATTCTGTAACAGTTTATTACTAATAATGAGTAATATTACAATACTATGTCAGTGTCATATTCATACTTAACTGTACTGTCACTAGTGCAAGTAGTAGGGCTGATAAGTATATTTATTAACCCTAGTAGTTGTATTACTACTATTAGTTAGCATGATTAATGAATTAGCTCTTCATTAGTTCAGAGAATCATGCTAGTTATTACAAACCTCGTAATGGCAATAATATTAAATTTAAAGTGAGGAGGCTCAACATTCTACACCTAAAATTAAAACTAGCCAGATAATTCAATAATATTACCATTTATTGGTAGGTGAAGGTTTGAATTTGAAACTGTAAATGACGATAGTGATGATGCAAGTATCTTCTGGGAATTGGATTCTCGTTTTTCGACTGATTCGACACCTTCCATTTGACTAACCTTACTTTCAGTTTCAAAGTTATCATCTTTTTCTGTACATGATGAAGCTTCAACATTTTTCATTTTCAATCCATTACTATCTAATTCGGACATTTCTTACGATTAATATTAGCACCAGTTCAAAGCAGCTGTAAAACGACCGGGTCTGAACCTCGCCAAATAAACAAGAAAACTAAGAGACCTCTACCTCTAACATTCTACAACTTCTATATTATGGCACAGTAACTTTACTTTTTTCTCTATCACATGTCACCGAGAGAGGCGCTACAGTATTGAAAAACAAGAGAAAGAGGGAATTTAAATCGATAAAAATAGAGAATATAAAATAATAATTTAAACATGCCACTAAAATAATTATGGAAGTTAATATTATATAGATTATTGAAGGTGGATTAATAATGACAAAATTATACTAATAATAATTTTCTTCTAAAGTTATTTATAATATTATATAAATCAGTTTACGGTGGAAAATAAATAAAGACGCTAAAACTAATATTAAAACAACATAAAGCTGTTTCACATTTTTGCAGCTTGCTGCTGCTTTTTAAGTTCATGTCTCTATCGCTAGAGTGTATTTGATTTTGGAATTTCATGCAAAGCTACTCGAAGGCTACCTGCGCTAGACGTCCCTAATTTAGAAGTGATACGCGTTTACCCATGAATAATGGGATTGATCGCCACATTATAACGCCTCCACAAATGAAAGAACGAAGATACTCGGTGGTGGGATTCGAACTCGCAACCCGCAAAAACTGAGTCGAGCACCTTAGCTGACCACCACTATAGTTAGAGACTCCTTTTTTCTTCTTCAGTTTTTATTGTTAAAAGTGTCTTTATTTGTATTTGGGTATTGGATTTAAATTGTAGATCTAGACATGATCAGATTATTTAATTTTTCATATACTGTATTGTTGCGTCAGCGAGATCACGTGACTATTCTCACGCCCTCTGCTTTCTAGAACTATTCTGTACCTTGGCGAATGCTCTAGCATTTACTAGATATAGGGTAGTCTGGTATATATAAGAGGATGACAACGTGACAATAATGTGTGTGTAGATAGTGAGTAATTGAACTGCAGTCAGAAGTATTGTTGACGTTCGTTGATATAGCGTTTGTTATAGATCGACTGTTGAAAATAAGTGTATCGTAAAGTTGTATTCGGAAAGAATAAATCAGTTTTATTAAGTAAGGACTTATAGCGTTTGTTATAGCGTGACTGTGGAAATTAAGTGTATTTAGAAAGAATAAACCAGTTTTATTTAAGAAAGGACTTGTATTGCTAAAGTTTCTTCGGAAAGAAATTATACGGAAAATTAACTAACGAACAGAGACGTAACAGTATCAAACATGCATATTTATTGGCTGGATCTTTTTGTTAACTGCAGATAGATATTTTTTTTTTCCAAACTGTAAATAATTTTGGCTCATAGTTAGTTACTTTGTCTGTGGAGGTATATGTATATCAATATGTGTGTGTGTTAGAAACAAACTATGCTATTAACATATTTTCAGTTTTCATTGTAATTTCAATGACAAGGAGTTATCTGGTACTAAAAATAATTTTTATTACCCTAATATGTCTGTTAGACAAGAACGACCTTGTGATGAGATTCAGTTCTTAATGGTGTTCATATCTGCAGCAACCAGTTGCAATTATTTGTTCTACTTTGAAAGACATTTTAATCTTTATTTTTGTAGGCTGTATCTTTATGTTTTCAGTGCTTACTAGTTTTATACTACAAGTCACTACAGATACAAGAAAAATTTTTCACAACGTATCTGTGGAAATGTGTGATTGTTGTTAAATTCAACTCTTCCTGATCATACTGGGCATACTTCTGTCGTCAGGGAGACATAAATGGGGTCCAATATTACATTCATACATGATAAATATGTAGTATGGGGATGTACTATATGTTTTGTATCCATATCGTTGAAAAGTATGTTGTTTGTCATAGCTCTCTGGATGGATATAGAGAGACATCAGCTTTCACTTAAGTGGCGAGCTAGATTAAACCCTGCTTATCTTGTTCTCTTACAGGAATAACAACTTAATTACTAAGCTGAGTTATTCTTGTCTGCGAATCAGATAATAGTTGTGAAGGGAATCGCCCTTGATCTTCACTGCCAGTTGGTCAGCTGATCTAACAACAACCAAACAGTGTTTTTTGTATTACAATCTTAAGGGTTAACTGACATATTTAAGACAGTGTTTGGGCCTGGAAGAGCAGATTTTCACATATTTTACAAATAATACAGATTTTAAAGGAATATGCAGTAATTTAATGGATTTTATGCATAATTTTCCCAGCCTTAAGAGATTTAAATCGAGTTTCAAAGCAGCTTACATAGTTTTCAGTTCCACTTAGTTTATGGCAGAAACCTTCAGTTTCTGCTGTATTTTTCTTGTACTTTTACTTTCAGTGTTACATAACGTTAAGAGTCTGAAAATTTCGTAAGAGTACCTCATTTAAAGTTGTTGTTGTTTCACCTTAAGTTAGCGAAATTTATAATGTCGTTGTAATGTTTGTTCATATTAATTATTTTGAAACATTTATTCACGTTAATTAAGTTTGAACAGAGATGTAGAGTGTAACATTTGTTTCTCAATTTAAAGTTTAACTTGTTTTTTTTTCTATTTTGAATAAAGCTTCATTGGTAAAATCCAAGTAAAATCTTGGAGTTCATTTAGAGTATTTACTTAAATTCAGTTAACACAATATTTAAGTTACTGAGAGATATGTTTTCCGTTAGCTTTTTATTTCCTTTTATCTTAGTTAATTTAACTTACAAGAGGGGACCTACGTGCATTGACAAATACTCATATTTTTCAACGAAGTCTCCATTTTGCTTTTATCAGATCTACATTTATACACATATTTAGTATTATTGCATCATTGCATATCGCTAGTAGTGTACTATTTATTGCATATTTTTAATTATGAATAAATACTTTTTTGTGTATGAATCTATGTCTTATCTCGTTCTTTGCAACTAACAGGGAAGTATACATCCAAGCACGAGCTCTAAAAACCTTCAGTTGTTAGTGGGCCTAAATTCATTGTTTTGCTAGTTATCCGAAAGATGTCATAAATGCTAAGGAGTAAGAAGGAGCTTATCATGTTATGGCTTACATGACTATCTGTCCACAATAAACAGCTGTATCATTCTCTCTGAAGGAAATTGGAGTGGTGTTGTCTCGGTTTTGTTTGTTTGTTAATAAGCACGAAGCTACACCATGAACTGTCTGTACTGTGCCCACCACTAGCGTTGAAACCCAGTTTTGAGCCCTCAGACTTATCTCTGAGCTACTGATGGTTCCCAAGAATTTACAAATTTCAGAATATAGCTTTTAACCAAAGTTTCATCCTTGATCAGAAAAAAGTTCCATGGCTCCTCTATACAGCAATACTAGGGGTATATCCACCACAGTGGCGTGAAAGTAAACTCCTCTGGAGGGTTGTGCTTCTAGTATATCCCACCTAAGATGAAGTTTTAAGATTTTTAAATTCTCTAGATTGTGACTCCAACTGAAATGAAAGTGTCAATTTTTCGAACCCACAATTAACTTTTTTCTCTCTCTCTCTTATGCTCCCCAAATAAAAAATCCCAGAAATGCCATTGAACAACACAATCTCATTGACCAAATTTCATGAAATTTTTTCAGCTTCTTGGTCTATTGCTGATTATTTCAGGTGCCTATCACAATGGTTAACTGATTGTTCTTTATATCATTCAATTTAAAAAATGGCCCCGAACATTTTGACGTTATAGTTTGTTGGTATATCTATAGACTGGAAAGGTGGAGCTGATCTTATATATTTGCTATAGTTTTGAAAGTGGCTTTATTCGTGTAGGTTGTTGTAGGATATACATCGTTGTGATATACTTTTAACTTTAAAAGGTATGATTGTGGTAACTGGGATACCATTTGTAGGTCCTATTACTCCAAGTAGAATGGAGTAACTCTTGCATATACTATCAGTCCAAGTAACATGGGTGTAGTAACTGGAGTAGTCCAAGTGACATGGCTGTAGCAACTGGAGTAACCCAAGTGACATGGCTGTAGCAACTGGAGTAACCCAAGTGACATGGCTGTAGCAACTGGAGTGGCCCAAGTGACATGATTGTCGTAATTGACTAACCTCTGTAGGTACTGTTAGTCCAAGTGACATGGTTGTGATAACTGTAATAACTCTCTGTATATATCCTATTGGTCCAAGTGACATGGTTGTGATAACTGTAATAACTCTGTATATCCTATTAATCCAAGTGACATGGTTGTGATAATTGTAATAACTCTCTGTATATATCCTATTGGTCCAAGTGACATGATTGTGATAACTGTAATAAGTCACTCTATATATCCTATTAGTCCAAATGACATGGTTGTGATAACTGTAATAACCCTCTGTATATATTATATTGGTCCAAGTGACATGGTTGTGATAACTAATAACTCTCTGTATATATCCTATTAGTCCAAGTGACATGGTTGTGATAACTGTAATAACTCTCTGTATATATCCTATTAGTCCAAGTGACATGGTTGTGATAACTGTAATAACTCTCTGTATATATTCTATTGGTCCAAGTGACATGGTTGTGGTAATAACTCCTACAGATACTGATAATCCAAGTGTCATGACTATCAGTGCTTCAGTTGAGGCGGAACGAACTGGAACTCCTTTCCGATTGTTAACTTTTTATATCAAATTGTTCCTGTTCTTAAACTACTCGAGCAGATTTGTGCAGCATGGGACTGCTGTCCATAAATTGGATATCAAACCTGACCGTTCCACTTTGATGGCTATTGTAAGTAGAATAGCCCCTGTAGATATTGTTCTTTCAAGTGGTATGTTTGTGATAACTTTACTAGTTATTGTTTGTGATTCCTTGGTACTAGATAACAAAAGTCCGAGTTTTCTTGTTGTTAAACGTACGGGATAATCTTTCAGCTCTGTATATCAGGGCTTTCATTTTATACAGTAGTATTAACATACGATCTATATCTCTGTTCTGTGACAACTTTTTTATTAAACAGCGAGAGTACCCATCAGATTATTCAATGAATTTTTATCACTACAAGTTTAAGTTTTCGTGTGTTTTGATTTAAGACATAATGTACTTCTTTATAGTTTGTTTTATGTAATTGGCCTCATCAGTTTATAGGTTATCTTTTAGCTCTTGTCTGCATAATTAGTTTATTTTTGATTAGATGTTATCAGCAATTCACCATTTCAATTCTCTAATTTATTTCTTGCAAGGCATTAAATTTGGTGGCTGTCTTAGCACATTTAATTTATTTAATTTATTCCTGAAATTATTAGTTTCAAAAGAACTTCTTACAACATAAAACTTGCCCTGTGTTCTCTTTTTGAGTTCTTGAACAGCAGTCTTTTCAGAATCCTGTTAATGATAACCTTACTTTTAACGAGTTAAGTTAAATCTTTATTATTATTTTTCATGTGCATGATGCTTTGTTTTAAGCTGCTGGTTTTCAATGTGCTAATTCTTCCCTCAATTTCTGGCTACGCTCTTGACCTTTTCTTCAGTTTATCCGTCATGAAATGATAATTCCATTACTGACACCAACTTCTTATACATATGATTTTCAATTAGATTATTTAAGAAATGACATACATGACTGACAAATTAAAAGCGTTGTTTTATTATTTGGATACCCAAGGACAATATTGTTACGACAGCGGAGGTCACGTGACCCTAGTAACACGCCACGGGCTTCTAGAACGTTATTGAAGCGTCGGGAGACTACTAGATATGAGGTAGTCTTGTATATATAAGACCGGCCAAGAAGCGACGGGAACATGGTAGTGTAATTGAACTGCGGACAGAGAGAGAGAGTATTGTTGAGTCGAGCACGTGAGACGTTCGTTGTGAATTATAGCGTTTGTTATAGCGTGACTGTGGAAATTAAGTGTATTGCAAAGTTGTATTTAGAAAGAATAAACCAGTTTCATTTAAGAAAGGACTTGTATCGCTAAAGTTTCTTCGAAAAGAGATTATACGGAAAATTAACTAACGACCAGAGACGTAACAATATTTTAGGTGAACTAGACAGCTGTGTAGGAAGCCTAGGTGGACAGTTTTTTTACAAATATATAGCTTTATAGGGATTGAGAAGATGGCGAAAAGTAGAAAAAGAAAGAAAGAACACAAGCAAACTAAATGTAATGTTTCATTTTCTCGCTTCGCTTTTTCTTCTACAATTTGCATTTATTTCTCATATGAATAGCCTCACAGTTTTCGATATCTTTCGTCCCTGAAATCTGCTAACGCTCAAGGTGCACTTGGACTGGTTATCTGCTTCATAAATACGGTTTTCTATTTGTAAGTAAAGAAAATTACAAAAATAGAAAACTGAAGTGTAAACAAAATAATATCTTATTTATAAAAGATTATGTGTATTATTTGATCTCAAGTTCTCCAGCCCTCTGAGGGCCACTCTCCACTTATGGATGAGAAGCCCTACCGTACATTATTTAGTATATTTATTATTTTTGTTTGTGGAATATCGTGCAGAACCGCTTGAGGGCTACCTGCTGTATCCGTCACTAATTTTGAAGTGATAGAGCAGGAAGACAGCTAATAAATACCACCCACCGCTAACTCGGGTGATACTCTTATCAACTAGTGGGGTTTTAACCGTCACTTTTATAACACACCTATGGCTCCAAATTACTGAATGTGCTTCTTATTATTATTTGCGGTAAGGAGCTGCGAACCTCGGACACATAATCCAGCACGCTAATTACTGGGCTATTCAATATACATCCCAACTCTTCGGTTGTATTTTTGCTTCGCTTTCTTTCTTCCTACATGTGTTATATACGCAGATATTCTTGTTTTTGGTTTGTTTTTCAGTTCTCACTTCACGCATATGATATATGAAAATTAGTTCTACATACATCACACAGTTATTCTATTTTATGTATAATCTTCAAATTGGTATTTAAAAACCCCGCAAATAAAATTTATTTCTATTCTTAATAAACATTCTTCTTCTAGAAAGTATTTTTCAGCCAAGTTTCATCGAAGAAGAAGAAGAAGAAACCGAAATAACAATAGATTAAAGTTTTGAGAAACGTTATACAAGAAATATAAAGTAACTGATAGAACCATCTTCGATGACGAGGAACCCACTTTGAGACTAATAATGGCTGGAGACGGCTTAAATGGGTAATAAAGAAAAACTTTAATATAAGTTTAACATAACAGCAAATGTACAACGTTATGTTGTACCTGATGATGACAAAACCTTGTCGAAACGTTGTACATTTGCTGTC